TGCCTTGATTGATAAAATGTGATTTTACAGGGAAATCTGTGAATTTTTTTCTTCGAATTTTTCAGAAATTTTTTTCGCTATCAGATTTCAGTAATCTGAAATTTCAAGAGAAAATATTTCAAACCTCTTCAAAAATGAACATTTTACTGGATAAGATTCAGCAACTCTTGGACGTTCATACGGCGTTTTTCCTTAGAACGACAAAAATGTCCTCTGATTAAATGCGAATTTTCCAGGAACTTTCAAACATTTTCCCTTGAACTTTTCGGAATGTTTCTTCGCCAAGAAATCTGGTGTTTATTTTAAAAAATGAAGGAAAATTATGCTTGATTTTCCGCGAAAATAATTGCTTTATCGGAGGAAATTTGGCGAAATTTAAATGTTCCCACGACGTTTTTTCTTAGCATGACAGAGATTATGCGTTCTTCGTTCGTATGCTACCGTTATCAAGAATCACACCGTATTATCGTTAAAATCATTCCGATAAAATATTTAAGGGCCGTTATGATTTTTTTTTCTCGCAATTTTCAGAACCTTCAGATTAGATCGCGATCCAAATTCTTTAGAAAAATTAGGAGCAAATTATTCAAAAACTTGCCTCCGAATAAAATTTTATTAAATAAACCTGGCAACGCCTGATAGGCTCATACGGCGTTCTTCCTTATAGTACAGCAGTGTGGAGCGCAGGTTGCTTCAAAAACTAGAATCGTTGGGTTTTGATATCGATCGATTCGTTAATTCGATCTTACTGTCTGCCTGAATCGTACCGCCACCCCTCCCGTTTTTTGTAGAATCCTCGATCAAATTTTTTTCCGTGCTCTTTTCCGAAAAAGGCACCGTCAAATTCACTGTTTTCCAACACGTCATGTCATGGAGCGAATACGACAGAACGTAAAGGATGATGGCACATGTTTTCCCTCTTTCTCTTCTCTAACTTGTCCATTTATTAAATTTACACCCGTCCGAAAATCATGGTTATCAATCTTAACTGCTTTGATCTTTCGTGTGTTCCGTAATCGAACCTCATTATGCAAGAAGGGATCACTGTGCGTGGCTCATTTTAGAAACAGCATATAAGCCATTGGTTTCCCTATGCAGAAAGGCGTCTTTATGGAAGGGCCAGAGACAGTGGTTCCTCATTGCAAAATTTAATCCAATTTCTGTATAGGGCCGCTCGCGAGCGAGCGCCTTTCGTCGTTTGCTGACGAAAGAGAGTAACTTCGAAGAGTTATGCAACCTTGAAAGTGATGAAAGGACTCGTTTTGGGATTGAAGTAACCCGGAGACGAGTATTAGCACAACTTTCGTGGTTGCATCCAACTCTGAAAAGCATTATCAAATCAAAGGAACTGAAGACTGGAAAAGTGGACAGAAGCAGTTTTCGCTCGTCCCGATTCAACTAATATAAAAATAATTCACATTGCACTGAAAAAAAAATTCTCGGCGTTTTTACCAAGGTCCTTTGGTACCTTTACCATCTCACTTTTTTTTTACCAATTATTGGTAATTTTACCAAGACAGACTGGTAAGCTTACCTAAAAACCGGTATTTTTACTGTTTTTTTCAGGTAAGAATACCACTTTTATTGGTAATCAATTCACGGTAACTTTGCCATTTCATCTCGGTAATTTTATCACAGTCGATAAAAAATATTGGCGTTTTTACCAAGGTCCAGTAAAATTACCGAGAAAGTTCAATAAAATTACCGATTCCATAAATGGTAATTTTACCAAGAAAAAACAGGGATCAAATAGAACCCTGAATTCTTGGTAATTTTACCCTTTTCTTAGTAATTACACTGAGATTTTTTTTTTCAGTGTGATGCGTCTAAATGTCAAATTGCCTCCTAAAATCAGTAATATCGAGGGAAATATCAACGATTTTAAAAATTTATAAGAATCTTGGACCCGATGCCTTCTCGAATCCCAGCAAATTCTCGCTGAGGAGTGAGCATACGTCGAAATGAAACGTGGATCAGACAGCATAGTGCGGCTGGAATCCGTCCTCAGACTGCACACCGGTAGATTACAACTCCTCTCGCGGGTACTTGAACTCTCACACAATGCTCGCTATTAATTTTGAAACGATTCCGAAGACTTTTGAAACAAAAGAAGAGTTAATTTCACGCTTGCACGCCGCGGCGCGGCGGTGCCCGGCCCCGGACCGTCCGGGTTCGGGCCCCGGTCGCGCTGGGTACACGAACCGGCGGCGGCGGTGGCTCTTGATCCTCCGTCCTTGTCAATAAGTTTATTCGTCCTTTATTAATCGAGTAATTCATTCGTTCTGTTGGCAGTTCATCGAGGCGTATGATTCGCTCATTCCTGCATTGTGACCCGGGACCACTAATCTTCATTATCAATCTCATGAAGTTGAGAAGAACGTAGTTGATCTGTTATGTTTAAAAAATATTTTACATCAGCTGATCTCATCTAACACTTCCTTTGCTAGCTTGATGATAAGTGTAAAAGTCAAAATTCAACTGACAATCAGGAGCAAAATTTCATTATTCTTTTCAACAGTTAATTTCCAATTATCCTTAAAAGTTTGCATAGGAGTTTTTATAAAACTAATCTCATTTAACTGAACGTCGTCTTTTCAGATTTTGTATATTTATCTTAAAAGAAACGTATGTTAATACAGTGATTAGTTGACAATAAATAACAATAATGGTTATACAACAAATAATATGTCCAAGAACAATAGTTATTCACTATATGCTCAGTCAGTATATCGACGGTGAAACTACCAAACCACGTATCTCGGTTTGCGACGTCGCAGACTTCCTGTCATACTTTATTTTTTAAATAGAAAACTACTCAACGTCAATGCGTGAAAACTTCCGCGATTTTTCCTCTTTGTGCGGAGAAAAATTTGCGAAAATTGTAAGGAATGATATTGATTCGATCTCCTCCAAAAAAATAAAGTGCGAGTGGAGATTTTTAAACACCGCAAACAAGATACGTGGTCTGGTAGTTTCACCGTCGATATGGAATTACAACGCTTTGAACTTGGCAGTGCGAAAAATGCCGCTTTGAGAAAAATCTACTCACACTGCGGATGGATCAATGCTACCTACTTAATGGATCAAGGTCCCTTTTTTGAAGCTTTATTTAAGAATTGTAATCATTCGTATGATCGAGCAAGCATAACCTCGTATCGAATCTCATGGAAACATTCCGTTTTACACGTGGGCCGCGCGTAGATCCGAAAAACTGATCAAGCGCACGCTAAGGCATTCGAAACGGAGCCAGCTCTCTGACCCGGCTGTGTTTATTTTCTGAAATCCGTCTAAATCCGATTCAAATCGTGGATCTGGATTCCTCACGGTAAGCGGGNGGGGGGGGGGGGGGGGGGGGGGTGCTGCCCGTGAACCGCGCTGGCCATGCACACGGTCTTGGTTTCAATGGCGTGGGTGTCTGTTCCTTTGCCGTGCTATGAAAAAACGCTCTATAAGCCTTCAGACGTTGCCGAATTTCTCCGACAAATCACGAACTGCCGGTTTAATTGGATGATATTTCTCTTCCAGATTTTAGGAAAATTTTGCTCGTATTTGACAGGGTGTCTAGTATCAGGATTTTCCAGATTTTCCCGATTCTATAAGGATTTTAGGATTTGAGGAAAAATCGATCGTAAAATCAGGATTTGAGAAAAGTCGGCCATCCGATCGGATTTTTTTATCGAGCTATTAATTTTAGAGTTCTGCTTTCGAATACGCTTATGCAGAAATTTTAATTTCTCTCCGCAAAAAAATCAGGATTTGGAAAAATTATGAAATCAGGATTTAGCAGTCAAAACTCAGGAAAAATCAGGATTTCTCAGAATGAAAAAAAAAACTAGACACCCTGTTTGATGTAGAGTGTCTGAAAGTTTCAAAGGATTAATACTCGCAATTTTCCTCAGAAATAGACGTTTTCTAAGTATAAGGTTGGCAACATTCGAATGTTCTTACGGCGTTTTTCTTGAGCTCGGCAGTCTTGCGGTCGCGGGCATCTGTTGCCGAATCTACAGACAAGTTTCTAGTGGCTCAAACGTTGTGGTTACTGTATGCCATCGAGCTGCGATTGAATCATGATGAATCGACTAACTCTACGTTACGCAAGATTCGCGGGGTCAGCAAGCATGGTTTCCAGCGTGGAAGGGATCTTGGCTGGTCACGGTTATAGGAAAATCCTATCATCATATGATCGAACATTTCTCTCACAGTGTGTTAGAGCAGAGGTGAATGTAGGCCGTCTAGTAACCTCTTTGGCGACAGGTGGAAATTTCTCCTCGTGGTCCCGGAGCTCTACCCTTAGAACCTTAAAATTACATTCCTGTAGGTAAAATTCGTTTGGCAAACTATCTGATATCGTCACCTTCCGGCCAAAGTGTCACAAGCGCCAACCAACTTTTTAAAATTTCCGCCGTCATTTTATTCTTTTACAGAGAAATTTTTTGTTGAATCTGCGTTGAAAAATTTCTCTGTAAAATAATGAAATGGCGGCGGAAATTTTTAACCATCGCATGGAGCTTGTGTTACTTTGGCCGGAAGGTGAAGATATTTGGTTAACTTGTTGGGCACATGGCTTGACACGAAGCTCAACAGCCATCAAAATGGTATGATGACTGCTGCTACCGAGGAAGAAATGTTGAATCCTTGAAAGATAAGTTTCCACAAGTAGCCGAGCTACCAGTCGAAGCTGGAGGACCTCTATCTGTTTTTATCCATGGGTGAGCTAAAATTTTTCCCGAACTCTTTCTTCTTGTGCCTCCTCGGAAAGTAATTATTGAACAAATCTAGTTCATGTCAGTGGGAAAGTATAATTTTTTAAAGGAACTATCTAAAATTTCTTTATTACGTATCCATCTCTCGACATTCACATCGCGAGATGACGTTTCGTCAATACCAAAATATGTGCTGATTTCAACTAAATCCTTCCATAGCTCTCATAATATGATTCGTGCTGTGTTCACATAAACTTGTGGGTGTGTCAATAATTTTTTTCCCCTTCTCTGTTCCAGGTTTGTCAACACTCAATCTCAATCACTTTACTGTGTGAACTTCCGAAATTGATCACGGGTTGAGTCCCAGACGGAAGAGATTTCATACCGGTGCCGAGTAGGAATGTGAAGGTACCTAAAATTTTCAAGTTAAGTTAATGTTGATGCATGTACCGTGTTTCCGATTGTTCGTCGATTTGAAATGCCTGTTATAGGCGGATCTTACTGAAAGAATAACACTCTTTCTGATTTCTGATGTTGTTGGCAAAAAAAAGTTTAGGAGTTAGCAGAGTGTCTACCGGTCCCCGAAAGTCCCCAATGTTCCCCCGATTATCCCCGATTTTGAATGGGTATCCCCGAAAGTCCTCCGTTTTCTTGTTCAGGTCCCCAAAAAATGACAAAAATCGTCCTAAACACCGGCATTTTCAAGTTTTCCCGCCAGCCGCGGCGGCACGGTATAACCAGGGATAAAAAAACGGGAGTGTCGCTTGGTTTCTCGTATGTTTTCATCGGTTCAACATGACTTGTAAAAGTAGTTAGATAAAATACGCCTTTTAACGCTCTAACTAGCTCCCTTTCTCTTACTATTCGGGGAAAAAAGCCCCAGATTTTCTTGAAAAAACTCCCCTAAAAGTCACCGAAAGTCCTCAATTTTGGTTTTTCACAACTGGTAGACACCCTGTAGAAGTGTAGAGGTACGAAAAATAAATCCGAACTCAACTTTTTCCCTTAGGAAACCCGGAAAGTCTGAAGATTCTGTAATTTCAGCTCGAACCCTTAATTTCATCAATTATTTGTCGAAAAAATCTGGGTTTGTGCCATCGCTTAGAATTTTAAATTTCTAGATTGGGAGCACAGTCTTTTTTACTTTAAAATTTTTTTACGTGCGTACATGAGCAACCTCACGTGATATCCGATCATTTGAAACGACAGCTGAGAGTCATCATTAATTGCTATCATCACCGCTTCAGATCCCAAGACCCTTCTCTAATAGCCCTTTCGCGTCAGGCGGAAGCAACTGCTCACACTTGTTGTTCAACAATGTGTTGCGCATGCTGTTTTTAGAACAGGGTAAGTTGTACAAGCTCCCTAGCCAAATTGCTTGGTTGCTGAATATTAAAAAAATAGGAACTTTCACGAGTTTTGTGAGTGATGATCCCAGAATTTGCAACTTTTCCCGACTGAATCATCGTGTCAAGGCCCTAAGGAAAATGGGATTCGCCAGGAAACAAGAGATCCTCGAGTAAATCAGGGAATGGGTCTCAGAAATTGACACGAAGACCCTTTGATCAGTATTAATATTGTGTTCTGCATCAGCTCAGCATTTCAGACTTACGTAAAACATATGTATAAAAAATAAATAAATAATAAGTCTGTAAATTTACGTAAGTAAAACTCGAGAAAAATACCTAATATTTCCTCTGAGAATCGAAGAAAAAGTGAGATGAAACTTTCCAACCAAATTTGACTTTCCGAACTTTCCGCTTGGTGAATCGCTTTTCCAGGATGTCTATTGTTAGTGAAAACTAGCAAAACCGGAAAATATCAGGAAATTCGATGTCATCAGGAAAATTTATAGATAGCGAAGAGAGCAGTAAGTGCCTTTCTGTATGAGCCATGATTAGCACATGCTTTTATGGGTCTCGAGGTTCATCTCTGCATGCGCTTACTGCTCTCTCCGCTACCAAGGCTAATATATCTTGGTGCTTTAAACCGTACCTTGTCCACGGGTCCATCCGGCCATCCGCTAGTTGACCTCAGCATCGGCGAAGGAATGAAGCGCTCTTCCCGGCTATGCTAGCCGGGTCTCGAACCCAGGACCCGGCAACCGCGCGTTTGCGGGGGCGCGAAGTGCGTGTTTACGCGTGGGCTCCCGACTCACCTCCGACGCCCCCCGCCCCCGGCCCCCCTCCCCACGGGGGCCCCGCGCGCGCCTTTGGACCGCAGTTTATGGACGTCATTAAAATGACAAAAATAGATGATCGTCTTGTGGTTCGTTTTGGTTCCGATTTTTTTCTCCCTTTTTCCCCAGCCCCCCCCCCCCCCCCCNGGGTCCAATACTTTGTCTTTCTTTTCTTTTTCGAGCTTCCTCCGTCCGGCGCATCCTGCGTTTCGATCAGCGCTGATGCCGCAGTCGGGATTAGCGCGTCGTTGTCGAATTTCCGGAAAAATAGGCGATTTTATTAGAATGGGAGGGTAGAAAATCCTGGAGGTTTAATAGTGGAGTTCGACAACTGAGACAGTTAAATATGATAGGTTTACAATGGCGCAGAGTTTGTTATTTTCCCGCCGCGGTCTGAACGCTAGACCATTACCCCGGGAGGGGGGGGGGGGGCGTTTGTTTACGTTCGTCTGAGAGTTTTCGTTCATTTCGTGAGAGCCCGAAATCGGTCCGAGCGGACAAGGGGCCTGTTCAGGTTCTCTCGGAGAGGCAATAGCTCGTGAAACGAAATGGATCGTATTCGATAGTGGTTCTGTGTATCGTTTGGTTTGAAACAATTGAACAAAAACTAACAAAAATTTGAGGGCCTGAGTTAGGAAAGCTGAAGAAGAAGAAATTCCCAACTATTTCAATTTTCTCCAGGCGAATTTTCGCGAGTGGATTTGATAAGCCTGTGTCACACTATCAAAATACTCCATCAAAATGTCAAGGTCGAGTGCTGTGATTGGTCCAAGTCATCAAATAAGCCAATCGCAACTCCTGACCTTTATATTTTGATGGCTAGTTTTGATAGTGTGATACAGGCTGTAGACTTTTTCAAATAGATCGGCAAGGTTGCAAAATATGGAGAAAAACTCCCTGCTGCAGTCAAGTACTAAACTAAGCCGATCGATGACTTTTGGTCAATATTTGCATCATCCACTTTTCAACCCACCTCGGGAGGTGCTCATAGAGGCAACTCTCTATGTACGTATCTACGTCGTCTCGCCAGGCGATCTTCATAGACGCGGAGAATTTTTCTGTATCGCAATGCCGTTGGAGCTGCGTGCGAGTGTGCGAGTGCGAGGAGTCGGGTGGAAATAAAATTAGCATGCCTCTCCGCGAGACAATCTAATGGCCGCTCCGTGAAAACGAAGACATGTGGGAAATATCTGCCCGATATGCATATGTCAGCGGGATCCCGGGATAGGCATCCGCTCATCCAAGAACGCACGCCTGAGTGAGAGCCGTCACATCAGAACCAATTCTTCCTCAATTAAACTGGACCCTTTGCACTTTTCTTTCTTTCGTGTTTGCATGGAATATCAGTCGATTGATAATCTCCTAATCGATGGCACGTCACTTTATTATCTTCAAATTTTGAATATTTCTCCGTACTTCTTCTTCCGTGAACTTGAAAACTCCGAAGACGGCTTTATAGGAAATTCATTCCTCGGCACGAAAAAGATGGTTGCGGATATTTTCAGTAAAGCCTTGGCGAAGAAAAAACATTACTTTTGTTTGAATAACTTGTTGAAATAGGCAAAAAGATAAATGTTAGGTATTCTTTACTGATAAATTCCATGTTTTTTCTTATTTACAGGAAATCAATCTTAAATGTTTCATTTGGTTGTTTAGGAACATAATTTTGATATTTTCAACGTGCGGTTTGTCTTCAATGGGCCTGTTGCAGACTTTTGCTAGAGCAAAAATAGGAGTCATTTCTATCAGTAATGGTCTCAAAAATCACAATAAGCGCATTGGCAAAGTTTGAAATGCACTGTTAACTTCACAATCTGCGTAAGAAATGTGCGTTTGTTTGAGCTCCCCGCTTCAAAAACGATACTAAGGCATAGGTGAACATTTGATCCGCAAAGATCCGTTTTGGTCTTGTGCCCCTGATTCCGATTTGCAGACGGAAGCATCGGCTATGACACAATATCCAACATGGCCGATACCAATCCGCCAAAACGCATGTGCCTGGACGAGATTCTAACAATTTGTTAACAACCCAGCGTGTTTACATTCACGATTTCTTGGCGTTGATAAAGATTCGCTTATTGACGCGCAAGCCAGGGATGAAAGCGCGGTGGAGTGTCGAGTCATCTTCACAGTGTGATGTGCCTTCCATCCAGCTAGCGGCAATGTGCCTGCACTGGTCGAATAGTTATCGCGAATAATTCTAGCATTGCGTTTGGTGCAATGCGAGAAGTATTCAGGCAGTCTTGTAGGCGCTAATATGCGTTAGACGCCGACCGCACTGTTTGGCGCAATGCATATCAGCGCCTGCAAGACTGCAGGAATATTTCACGTATTGCGCCAAACAGTGCGGTCCGCGTCTAACGCATATTAGCGCCTGCAAGACTGCCTGAAGACTTCTCGCATTGCACCAAACGTAATTCTAGAGTTATTCGCGATAACTATTCGACCGACCAGTGTAGGATGGAAGGCGCATCACACTGTGAAGATAACTCGACACTCCACCCCGCGCTTACATCCCTGGCTTGCGCGTCAATAAGCGAATCTTTATCGACGCAAATAAAGGCGCATAGGCAATATGCGCCCGGAGAGCCCGAATAGTTGTCCATCCGAAAAAAATTCACATTTCTATCGCTCTATACGTTTAATTGAACCGAAAAACAATGTTGTTAACCTAATGCTTGGTCTCGTCTATATGAAGTTCGCCTTCAGTTTTCAGCATAGGCAATAAACACACCAGAGAGCACGAACAGTCATCTCTCAGAAGAGAATCCTCACAATCTATTGTAGCTCCGAATTGCAAAATGCGGCCCAATTCGACAACCTCTCGTGGCGCCTTATGCATGCCGTTGGACGCGAATCAAAGATCCTCCATTTGAGATTCGCAATTTGTAAGCGCGGATGAAAGGGTTTGTTTACCCAACAATTCTTCGGGGTTTATGCCCTTCCCTCCATCATCAAAGAGCAACATCAGGGCGTTTCTCTCTCTCTCGTGAAATGATTTGTCTTTGAGTCGAGACGTGACAATTTATGAGACCTCGTTTTCATATACCCTTGGTGACTCACGCGCTCTCGTGAAGCAAGATGGAGAAAGAATATGCTGCCTTTCTAAGGTTCGAAGGACGGAGAATTGAATGTGTTTGTGAAATGTCAAATCTGAAGAGTCTGAAACTTTCAAGGAAAAATATTCATAACTTTCCTCCAAAATAATCATTTTTTCGGAAGAAATTTG